AAGACAGTCAAACTGAACATTAAATTCGACAAATTTGATAAACAAGAGCTCAAGAAGATTGTCCGCAAAGTGACCGTCTCTTCGGACGAGTCCGACGACGATAACTGATTGTCCCATTGATTGGTTCCCGGATTATGCGATCACTGATCCGTCCCTTACGGACACTAATCATTTGCATTATCAACAAAACATAATTATAAATACACGCAAACTATTTGTTATAATAATCATATCTAATATCTATTGTTTTTTTCTTTTAATTTTTCTAATTTTTATATTTCATAAAAAGTTCATAAATATATGCCTTTCCTCTCAAATACAGTATTTGTTTATTAAGAAAAATGTGTTACAAAAGAAGAAAAATATAATTTTTTAATAATTAAAAGTTTTAATTTGTAAAATTATTATTGTTTTTACACCCGTTATGTGAATACCCGTTATAAGTGGTGAGTGTGGGTCTCGCCCGCAACGCATAGCGCCTACGCTGGTGTGCATACCATATGGTAAACAGCTTACAGGGGTGTGAGAGTTAGTGTATGGACTGTGTGCTTGTGTGTGGGCTCAAGCACTCACACAGTGGTGCTGTGCAGTGAAGCGGCGGCTGTAGGCGAGAGAGTAATACTGTAGAAACGGATTTAAAGGGGGACTCTATTGGTGAGAGAGAGAGAGATGGAGAGAGAAAAGCATATGATTTTAATTGATTCACATATTATATGAACACACCGTTGAAAGTGGACGTAATTGTTGACCGAAAGGCGCATAGGGTTTGTGTGTGAGTGCAGTGGGAGAGAGAGAGGGAGAGAGCAGTGAGTGTGTGAGCGCTATAGTGAGCTATACTCTGAACAGTGCCATAGCATTGCATATTGTGAAGTGAATCGACTCGTTATAATCAATTGCATTGCAATACTATTACAGCATATATAGTGTACGGCTCGGTGTGTGTGTCTGTATGTGTGACTGACTGTGTGTATAGTGTATTATCCAAGTGTTTGAATCCAGTGTTTCTCCAAGTGTTGGATCTATTGAATGGTGTGAATCAGTGGTGAGACCACTGAATACTTAGATGAATGTCTCATCACGAAGGTATGTGTCTGAAGGCAACTGATCCCAAATGTCTCACTACTGCCTAAACCCATAGCAAACACACACTCTCACAGCCCATAGAGTTAGCATTGCTATCGCCTTATGCTTATTGAATGCCATTCAAAATGGCTCTCAATATATCTATGCTATATATTTCGCATACACTATGCGTTTATACACTATATATCGGTTTGATTTTTATATTTGTCTGTTTTGGTGGCCATCGATGGCCATCAGCTCATCCTCTGGTGATGTCTTGAGATAATAGTCTAGCCGTTCATTACATACACGTATCAATTGAATGGCCACTGATTTAAGCATTTCATACAAATGGTATGGCTTTGGGTTCATAATCCCCATACCATTGGCCATACATTGAACCCACCGTTCATACCATGATTATATCATTGTAACCACTATTAACCCCGATATAATGAACCTGGCCATTAGTGTACAGTTAGCCTTTAGTACCTGTATTAATTACTAGCCGAGCTTGATCAGTTTGTTAACGTTAACATACATTAAATATTCGCACCATTAATTGATATATCACACCCGCATATGTCTGGTTGGTGTTAACCCAATGGCATGTAAATCGTGATAATAGTGTACACCTGTATAGAGTGAACGCAGTTTTTATAGATTATTTGTAATATTAATACAATTATTTGTTTTACAAAATAGTATCTAATTTTTGATATTTTGTTTTTAGTTATGTTTTATTTCATTCACGAAACGTAACGCTTTTGTAAAGTAAAATAGTTATAAAATTAATAATCAATACATTATAAGAGATCTACACTATTATAATAAACCGTATATTATTTAATAACATTATATACACTATTAACAGCTTATAATGTACTTATATTTCTTATAATAATAACAAATAACACAATAAAAAAGCAATACTTATATTGTTTTTAATATTGAATGAGAAAATAATAAAATCTAATTTACATTAATGTCTTCGCCACACATGAAAAGCTCCAGCGATTCCCTGGCAGTCATTAGACAATGAATGGCCAAAACAATTGCTCAATAATTATGCCAAAAGACATACAGACAGACAAATTAAGTATTTTTCTACCATAATTATATATCTAATTTGTTTTTTATATAATTTTTCTTATGGTAATTAATTTTTTATATTTATTTATTATTTTAATGTATTTATAATTTTGTTATAAATATGTAAATATATAATGAGAAGAGATGAGAGAGGGGGTGGACAATGAGGGATGGATAGGGTGACCACATGATCACAATTACATACACAGTACAGACACACACACATACACCACACCCCCATGTGATCATTGCCCCTGATGATTTTTTGTTGGATCACATTTTTATGAGCTGTCATGCAGTCATGTGAGCGAGAAAATCGGTTTAACGTTTTTGATATCTCAATGACTTTTAGCACTGGTAGTGGCAGTAGTGGTGGTGTTATCCACTCCAACACTCGCTATCACTACCGATATATAAGACAAATAATAGACAAATCATTTTCTTGTACGACAATTGCAATCAGATTTATATATCTATTAAGATTAAGACAATTGTTCACATAATATGATACAGATATATGGATAGAGTGTAGGGATTCAACACCTCATCATCCCATCCCTCCGCCCACTCCTTCTCTTCATCCCTCTGTCCCCTAAAGCCATGAGTTGTTTATGAGATAAACGATTGGCTGAAACGGCACATGACTTATAAATATGAATAGTTTGCCTAATTTTTGTGTGATTTATAATCTGTTAAATAGGCAAAGATGGCTCAAAAGTAACACAAGTGATCGCGACGCCCGGTCAGGGACCCGACCGGCCACAAGAGGTGTCCTATACGGACACGAAAGTGATCGGCAACGGCTCGTTCGGTGTCGTATATCAGGCCCGACTCGTGGACACGTCCGAAATGGTGGCCATTAAACGGGTTCTGCAGGACAAGCGGTTCAAGAATCGGGAGCTCCAGATCATGCGGCGTCTCGACCACTGCAATATCGTTAAACTCAAGTTTTTCTTCTACACCAGCGGTGATAAGGTATGTCTTGATCTCGTTTGTGGTTATTGTTGTCATCGGTTCCCATCGGGTGATAGTTATCTGTGGCAGTGGTTCTGGTTTTTGATTTTTTCTATTAATTATATTTTAATTAATGTATTTAATTAGTCGTGGTTTTAAAGCCCTATTTCCTGCGTGTCTTTCTGTGCGTAAAACATTCAGACAATAGTTTTCGTGAAGTTTTAGTTTTTTTTGTCAGTGGTTTAGATCCAGTGATTGATTGACAGATACATTGATAGTAGAGTAGATTATTTGTGCCCGTTAATCGCTAGCCAAATCGCAAAGTGTTTAGTATAGTTGTAGTGATTTTCTAATTTAATCAACAATTGATTAATTTGTTTTTTTTATTTATCATGTTTTTAATTAAACGATTCTCTCTCTCTCTCTCTCTCTCCCCCCACCATTGACTGACTCTCTCTACTCTCTCTCCCTTACAGAAAGACGAGGTGTATCTGAATCTGGTGTTGGAGTTCATACCGGAAACGGTATATCGAGTCGCCCGACACTATTCAAAGTCAAAGCAAACAATTCCGATATCATTCATAAAGTTATATATGTATCAACTGTTTCGGTCATTAGCTTATATCCATTCGCTGGGCATTTGTCACCGGGATTAGTTTGGTGTCTTGGATGACGAGCTGGGGTTGTCGCCACAAGAATTTGATACACTAAAACCTTCCATACATAGCGAATACCCCCAATACCCACCACCCCCAGTGTCCACAGCCATGTCAAGTCGTGTGATTTGTTTATTATCCGACAAACTGTGGTTTTTTGGGTACTTTTTAATTATATTTATTAGTTTTTTGATTAGTTTTAAGTTTTAGGATTTTTGGTATTTTCTTTTCTTATTGTGTTTTTATTTTTTTGAAGTTTTTTGACACAATTTTTATTGATTAGAGATTTTTTCTTTTTACCGTATATACTCTCATAAGAAAACCGGTAATATTATGTGAAATCCAGTGAAAATGCGATTTTTCAAAACAGGGGTAATGTTACCCGGATAAGATTACCCCCCATTACTAAAACTCACATAAAGTTATCAAACCACAGAACCTACTGCTCGACCCCAACAGCGGTGTTCTTAAACTATGTGATTTTGGAAGGTATGTATCGCTTATGGGGGTTATGGGTGGTGGGGGTCACAGGTGTCGGTACAGTTCAGCACCGGTTTGTTTATTACCCGACAAACTGTGGGTTTTTTGGGGTACTTTTTAATGATATTTATTAGTTTTTTGATTAATTTTAAGTTAGGATTTTTGGTATTTTGTTTTATTATTGTGTTTTTATTCTTTTGTTTATGAAGTTTTTTGACACAATTTTTTATTGATTAGAGATTTTTTCTGTTTAGTTACTAATTGTATGAGATTTTGGTTAGTTTTATTTTTTATATGTAGTTTTGTTAATAGGTTTACGTATTTATCTCTTTAATCTTTTCGTGAATTACAGTAATTATGGGTTAATTATTATCTATTTTTGATGTATTAATTAAATGTTTAAATGAATTATTAATTAATGTGTGGTTTTTTTTATTTGTGTCTCCAATAGTGCAAAGCATTTGGTGAGAGGAGAGCCCAATGTCTCGTATATATGTTCCCGATATTATAGAGCGCCTGAATTAATATTCGGGGCAACGGATTACACAACCATGATCGGTATATTAGCAACTATTTATATAGATTTTTATGTGTATCTATTGTATGTGTGTTTTAATTTATATATTTAATTTTGTTTTATTTATAGTGAGGGTTAGCGATAGTGTTGTTGTCTTTGTATTTATTTAAAACCAATTATTAGTTACTAATTGTACCCAAGAATTGTTTTTTGTAGTTTTCATGGCATCTGGTTTTAGAGTTCATTAGTGTTTTTTTTGTTTCTGTGATATATTTAACTCCTTTTTTATAAGGTTTTAGTGTATTTTTATGCAGTTTTTTGTGTGATTATATGCGTGTGTTTTGTCTGCTTTTTGTTGTTTTAATTGAAATGATTTGTAAATTCCGTTGACTTTTAACGTACGTTATTTTGATGATAGTATTTCAGGATATTGTGGTTTAGTTTAGATTATGATCTCCGATGTCATGCGACTGATAGCGGAGAGAGTGTGAAGGATAGGGAGGGAAAGTCCCATCTCTTCCGTGTATATCACATGGAAATACATGTTTTTTAATTAACTAATTATGTGATTATAAATGGTTTGTCGATTAAAAAATGTGTTTATTTCTGTTTCACGTGTTATCTGTTTTTGTGGGAAAATTATAGTTTTTTTTTGTTTGAAACTCTTTTCAAGTTTTTCTCTGAAAGTAATTTCATTTCAATTATGTATTTGTTTTTTAGTTATTTATAGCATTGAAAGTGAATGAAAATATCATATTTAAAGCAAACATTTCTCGGAGTTAACAGTTTTTTC